CCAAGACTTCCCTAAACCCCTCAAATAAAAGGAAAAACCTTGTAACCACTGGTTCCTTGTTCCTTGTTGGGGATATATAAAAAATCACCATGGTTAATCCTTATCAGGTTTATTACAGCAGAAATGTAAAGCTGGATCCAACAAGGACCCAGATTACTCGTCTTCGAAATTCTTGCTATGACTGAGACTATGTTGCGATGTCTATTGTCTACCCATAGGCCCCTAAGTAGTTCCTTTTCGGGATTACCTTATAGGATTCTAAATATAAACCATAACAGGGAACTACTTAGGGGCCTATGGGTAGACTTGAATACCGAGCCGAGAAGCCATGACAACAGCAATACAGCCTAGCGTACTTTACAACAAGTCTATCCTGGGTTCTTCTTAAGGAACGCCGTAACAGGCATTTGATAGGAGTTGCGGCAAATGATGGTATTTCCCTTGTTATGGTTGCGTTCCTTGATATGGTAGCAGGAACGAAGTTCCTCGCACCCAAATGAAAGAACCATGTCAATGCCGTCCGTTGAAAACCCTTTAATGCTATTCTAGAGACTTTCGAATGGTTAAGTTCATTTCCTTAACAAGAACCCTGAATAATAAACCCTTGACCCTAAACCCTGAACCCTAAACTCTTAAGCTTTAACCCTCAGTAAGAACCCCAAACCCTAAGCCCTGTGTGCGGCTGAATGTGTTTGCAGCCCAGGATCAACCTTCTGATGACAGTGCGGAACTCACAGCATGTTATATCATAGCATGGTCAAGCATATTATATTCTATGATAATATAGTCGTTTATTCAAAGTCTAGCCTTTTATAGTGGAGCACAGTAGAATGTAGTTAAGTATAGTACGATATTATATGCGGTTCTACCACAGTATTATATTACGGTGTTGCTGAGGGTGGGGGTTTAGGCTTTAGGCGGCCGGTGGTCGAGGAACTGGGTTTTAGGGTTGAGGCTTCAGGGTTCAGTGTTGAAGCCAGGGTTTGGGGTTGGGCGTGCGGGGTTACGTTCGTTGGGAGGGGCTGTCCGAAACTTGCTACACTTAGACTTAGACCCTAAACCCCCGAAACCCCCAATCCCTAAACGTTTAAACCCTTAAACCCCAAGCCGTAAACCTCTAAACCCCACAGCCCTTAGCTTAGACCCTAAACGCGAAATTTACGGTTTATGGTTTAGGGTTTATAGGGTTTATAGGGTTTAGGTTTCCTTGCGGTTTAGGGTTTCCTTTCAGCTCGACGTCAACAGCCAGGTGGGGAAGCCCGTGGGTTCCTTTTGACTCTACCCACTTGGAGGTTCCAATGGGCAGCTATCAGTAGGAAAAAAAAGGGGGTTTAGGGTTCCTTTAGTTCCTTTCGGGTTTTGGGTTGAGGGGTTGAGGGTTTAGAGTAGTTATAAGTAGGGCTATAAGGGTCTGGTTCCTTTAGGGTTTTGGGTTGAGGGGTTGAGGGTTTGGGGTAGTTATAAGTAGGGCTCTCAGAGTCTAGGGTTCCTTTAAGGGGTGCTCCGAGGGGTTTAGGGTCTAGGGTTGGGTAGTTGTAAGCAGGTTTCTAAGTTCTGTAGGGCTTAGGGCGGCTTAGGGTTTAGGGTTTAGGGCTTATAGGGTTTAAATGGTCGTGGGTTGAGCGGTTAGGGGGTCATACCCTACATTTCAGGGCACCTACGGTTTAGGGTTTATTACTGTAGGGTATGGATGTACTTTTCCAGATACGAAGCATAGAACTAGGTATCCCAAAAGGAGGCGATGACCCTGCAGCTACAGTTCATACTGTTGATGATATAAATCCTGCATTACCTGAAGGACCCTTAACTACGGGAATTATGCTAAATTTCCTTATTCTGGGGCAATGCAGGTCTTATATCATCAACCGTAGTTTGGCCTTCTTGGGGTTCCCTGCTTTGGGGCCCATACTTCCTCTCTGTGCTTACTTGCAGCCTCTATACCCTTCAAAAAACCCTAAACCCTAGGGTTTAGGGTTTAGGGTTTAGGGGTTTAGGGTTGAAAACCCGAAAGCCCTAAACCCTTAAACCCTGAGCCCTAAACCCCAAACCCTACACTCCGGGCTCAAAAAAGCCGAGGCCACCGCGCCTGACGTGCCTCTGTACAGAATCTCGTCCGGGCCTGGGGCTCCCCTGAGAGCCCGATTCTTGTCGGTTCACATATGTAGTTATACATGGGGGTTGCTTTAAGGGCTCTATAGGATTCAGGATTTGAGGGATGTTTAGGATAGTTATAAGTGGGGTTATTATAGGTCGCCTAATATGAGTCAGAAGTCTAGTCACCCTACATATAAGCCTACATCTAAAAACCCTAAACCCTCAAAGGAACCCTACCTCTAACCCTACTTATAACTACCCATGAACCTCGAAGCACCCCTTGGCGCAGCAAATCTCCCTTGATTCATATTAGGTTTAAGGTTTCTGGAAGTAAGATTTCGGGTATCATGCTTACAGTCTTCGTGGGGTCTTTGCATAAGAAATATGCCTGTAAATCATTTTGACAGCTTACCGATCTTTTAGAGGAGGATTCCTCAATTAAGGGGTCTTCGGTTCCCTGGGCCTTCAAGACGAGAGCGCTGGAAGCAACTCAGACAGCCTCAGCTCTAGGACGTTGGGAGGATGCTAGGACGCGGACGGTCGGTAGATGAACCATCCCGCCCATAGTTGGATGTGTAGTATAGGGAGCCCTATAAACGGATTGGAATGGGGTTTGAAGGGGGTATCAGGACGATAGTATGGGTTGGGCATGTGGTACCATGCTTTTAAGCCGCTACATTGGGGTTAGGGGTTCGGGTTGCAATTACCGGTCTGAGTCAGACCACTAAGGGTGTGGGGCATATCCTTTCAATTACAGGTCTGAGTCAGACCGCTATGCTATAGGGTTGCTGTTAATCCCGGTAAAAACCGGCCTGAGCCAGGCCGCTATATTGGGTGTGAGGTATGTTAGGCTGGCGTTAATCCCGGTAATTTAATATCCGGCCTGAGTCAGGCCGCTATATTAGGTGTAAATGCCGGCCTCTCTCAGACCGCTATGCTATAGGGTTGGTAATGACCGGTCTGAGCCAGGCCGCTATATTGGGTTTGAGGTTAATCGTTGTAAATGGCCGCACATCAGGGTGTGGGTGCGAAGTGCGCGTAAATTTTTGTACCCCGAACACGAAACCCTGAGCGCTAAACCCCAAGCCCTATAAACACGTCAGGGACCTCCCCCGGACGAAGACTACGCCAGGCCCTGCGGCGGCTTCGTCATTGCGTCCGCGGACTGGAACAACCTCGGCTGGACCACCCGCAGTTCGCTGCGCGCAATGCGCTTTACCGATCTTTGCAGGGCCGTCGCTTTGCGACGCGGCTGCCGCAGCTGCCGGAGTGAGCGCTGCGCTGCCAGTTCCCGGATGCGAATTTACACTTTAAAACCGCTATATGCTAGGGTTGGTAATGACCGGTCTAAGCCAGGCCGCTTTTTTGAGTTTGAGGTCAATCCTTGTAAATGGCCGCGTATCAGGGTGTGGGTGCAAATTGCGGGTAAATTTTTGCACCCCGAACACGAAGCCCTGAGCGCTAAACCCCAAGCCCTAACACGCCAGGGACCTCCCCCGGACGAAGACTACGCCAGGCGCTGCGGCGGCTTCGTCATTGCGTCCGCGGAGTGGAACAGCCTCGGCTGGACCGCCCGCAGTTCGCCGCGCGCAATGCTGCTTTACCGATCTTTGCAGGGCCGTCGCTTTGCGACGCGGCTGCCGCAGCTGCCGTAGTGAGCGCTGCGCTGCCAGTTCCCGGATGCATATTTACACTTTAAACCGCTATGCTAGGGTTGGTAATGACCGGTCTGAGCCAGGCCGCTTTTTTGGGTTTGAGGTTAATCCTTAAATGTTGGGCGGTTTTAAAAAGGCCTGTGGGGCCCCCCATAGGAGAAATCCAATATTTCCAATATTTCAGAAAGTTACTAAATCTCATAAAGTTTTTGAATATTTATAAATGTTTTTTACAATTCTTTTGAAACTTTTTAAATATTTCGGAATATTTCAAAAAATATCCTAATATATTTTAATATCATTTCAGATAAATTCAAGAAATTCAAATATAAACCTAGAAAAATAATAAACCTGCAATGAGTCTATGTATATATATACATATGTAAGATACGGCTCAAATTGTGCTTGACCTCGTTAAAAGATTAACACTCTCGTCGTTTGATATCAATACCGATGACAAAACGAATATATCTTATCTTTCTTAACGGGACTCATAGGGCTTAATTTAGGAGGGTTGGTCAGTCATTGAGTCATTGATTTCTTTGCGCCATGGCTGGATTACAGGCTTTACATCTAGATGAGGTTCTCAATATCTTGAATGATGCTGGCGACGTTGGTCAGATCGAAGAAGGAGTTGAAGAAGGAGTTGGCGGCCTCGGGCCAGGGAGGCAACCTGAGCCAGCGGCCAAGCCCGGGGCTGGAAGAAACAGGGCCGCAAGGCGCCGACTCGGCAAGGGGTTGAGGCAGCGTCAATCCGGGAGCCACAAGAGGAAGAAGAACAAACGAAGGCGTGAAAGTTTAGTTGATCTCCAAGTAGGACGATTCAATCACAGTGGGCGGTCTCGTAACCAGGACTTTCATTTTCCTTCTCAAGCCGGAGGTCTGAAGAGGAAATCTAGCCAGGGCCGGGGCCAATGGAAAAAATGGTCCCCTGAAGCTATTTTGCGTGCTGGCTTCAGTTCTGAAACGAGCAGCCGTAAAGATGTAAGCGCCGCCGTCGATGGTGCTGGTGAATCGCACGCAGGCAGGAGTAGATTCGTCGTGGCCCAAGCAATTGCACGTGGCCAGGAGCTTGGAATTGAGCGGGTGTCTAACCAAGGGTGTGAGTTCTTGGTACGGAATATAATGTTTGACGAGTCATCGTTGGAGTTGTCTTCTGGCAATGGCAAGGAGTCTTCTAGTTTGACTTGGTCAGTTTTATGTTCGCATGGCCAATGGACTTACAAGATACGGGGGTCGGACTCTGTCCAGGATCAACATATTGTCCGATCGCCTCAGATTCTCGTCCCCGTTATGAACTCCGTGACCATGCACGAAGCGTTGAGCAAGGATCCGGGCGGTTTCAACTGTAGTTGTCAGGATTCGGATCGTATTGCCACTATTACAACTTGCGATGCTCATGCTGCAAATTTACGAATGCTACGCTTCTGGGAGCAGCAGCTGCCACCGAATCATTTCTTTTTGCCTAATCTATGCATTCAACATCGCACAGGCAATGTGGTCGAGCAACTCACGAAGCTCCTGGGAAATCTCGGCGGAAATTTTTCTGTGGCGAAGGTTCTGAACAAAGCAAATCTGCTGAGAGGGTTGAGAAAGCGTATTTCGGCAAAGGTTGAGAAAGATTTAGCGGTAATGGACCGGATTCCAGCTGCAGTTCAAGAGGAGTGGGTAGCTGGCAAGCGACATGCCAAACAAATCGTTGACCTTTGCTTGAGTTTCGATGAAGATTCCCCCGAGCCTGGCCGGCCAGGAAGTTTTCGTCAAGCTTTCAATGACCTCCTGGACTTCTTCGATGGTCCTTGGACAGGACCGAGGGCCGGGTAGAGGAGGGAGTAATTCAAATACATTAAATAAAAATTTAGATAATATAATATTATCTATGACTAAATTTTTCTGATGAGGTCATGGATTCGGTTTGAGTTCCAGCTGTTGACTATTTGAGCTTGTTGTGTGTTCTTTGGATTGCAACTGTAGGTTCTGACTGCCGGGATAGATCGACAGCCACTGTTATGTTCAAGGTCGGTTCACAGTCCAGGTAGAATTTATAATTAAAAGTAATTGCCAATCTTCAGATTCGAGGGATAAGTGTATGATGATCCTCAGAGATTTGGGCTCGAGTGAGGCCCTGGGAAGACTGAGTGTAGCATATTCCGAGATTCACCTGTGCAGCAGAAGCCTTGCGCTCTCTGTAGCAGGCATCATCATGCCGTCTGTGCAGAGTAGTCTCGCTCCATGCGATTCCCGAACGATGATTTTGAACAAGTTCTTCGGGCCGTCAGAGCAGAGGTCAGTGAGATTTGCCATGAATGAGCTCTGTCAATATTTGGTCAGTGACTCATATGGGGCTGTTCACACCGTGCGGATGGCACGGGACGCCTACAATTCGAGGACGGGACTCACCTATATATAATAGTAGTAATCTAAAGCTAAGATAGCTAATTATTGACTCATATTTTTGTTGTCATCTTCTGTAGTTTGGATAGGGCCTGAGCAATATAGATTATATAGATCAATAGTCAATAGGCGTCATGGCTACAGATCAAGGTACGGAATAAGATTAGAGGTTTGATTTTCGGGGGCATTAGAAGTGAGATTTCTAGGATTCTCCTTTTGGATTCTTTATCCCGGTATCCCTCTCCCAATTCCTATTCATTGGTGCGGCCAGGCATTGCATGCACGTCGTTCTCAGTGTTCCGTCCACAGGCGGCGAACTCTGGCTCGGCGGTATTGCGGCCTCGGGCCAGGTCAGTGTCCTCCATGAAAACGGAATATCAGCAGTGTTGGCTGCGGCGGCGAAACCACCGGTGGCCATGGATCCGAACGTCAAGTTTCTCGGATGCCTGGACGGCACCGGGGTCACGACTGGCACGGTTAGCCTCACAGAAGTGCTGAAGACGTTCCGCGACATAGTGCGGATACTGAGCGGCGGCGGCAAGGTTCTGATATCTTGCAAAAATGGCGCTCACAGGAGCAGTTTGCTAGTGGCACTCTTCCTGATGTTCACATGTGGAGTCTCGGCGGACGAGGCGGCCGACTACTTGAGCATCGTGAGGAATATAGTGGATCTGGCAAGCTATCCGCCGAGGCCCAAGTCAGGATCTTCGCGGCCAGCGGGGCCAATGCCTTTGGCATGGTTGCGTGAAGTGGAGACAGAGGTCTTGGACCATGGGCGTGCGCTTTACAGTGGTTGGCCGTTTCAGCTGAACAAGGTCGTATCCCCATCTGTCTTCCGAGAGATGGCTAAGAGTCTGGGGTTCAAGGAGTGGGGGTTGACGACTTGTGTCGGTTCGTTAGTGGTAGTTTGTTTTGTTTTCTTGATGAGACAATTTAAACGTAATATGAATTGACTTGAAATAAATGTAGTATAAATTTTGATGGTTGATGATGCTGACTTGCAGGAGCAGTATCCAATCTATGGTTCGACAGCGAAATCGAAGCCAGCTCCGAAGGCCATGCCCACGAACAAGAAGGCTAGATCAGGTTCGGCATCGGATTCGGCGGCTTCTAGCCAGGCTAGTTCGTTGTCGTCTGTGCCTGAGTGTCCGCCCCCCAGCCAGATCCCGGAGGCAGCGGCAGAAGTGCAAATTTGGAAGTCTGTGTACGAGATTGAGGGTTTTAATTGGCTAAGCAAGTTTCGTCTATAATATGAAATGATCATGTGTTTGAACAGGCACGGAAGCGGCGAATGACCGAGAGTGCGGTCTCCAAAGACCAGGTAAGCTCCGATGCTCCTCGATTTATATATGATCAATGATCACTTTGAGTTGTCTTTTATAGCACAACAATATCAATATTGTTTCATTACCGGTTATCGTAGTCGAGCTTTTATATTCAAGCTGAGGCGTCCTGGTGCAATGTGTGTTCAGACATAGAATGCACGGAGATTGAGACCTCGGGCAATGAACACTCCGAAGTCGCCTCGGCCTCTGATTGGGAAAAGGCATCGCTTTCCAAGTTCTCGGCTACTTCTCGAGGTGGGCCTCCGGCCGCGGCACCGCATGCATCACTTGCATCAGTGCCAGAGGGGGCAAGCAAGATCGATCAAGATGATGAATCCGGCAGTGGGGCTGCGGCTGTCCAGCAATCAGAAGAAGACGACGAACCCGAACAGACCGACGACAAGGTCGAGACTGATCCCGATCCCGATGCGGCTGATGCGGCCGCGAGCCAGGAATGGAAGCCGACCAAGTCCATGGAAGAAGCAGTCATGGGTCCAGATTCCGATGAGGTCAGGGCCGGCCATCTGGCCAAACTGCGTGAGATGGTCTCGACCTTGAATGACCTCGACTCTCGCATCAAGGACACGCTCGGGACTCCGCAGCAGAGCCCACGAGCATCATCTGCGGCCTCAGGCCAGGTCCCTGTTCACGAAACTTATGAAAGGGACCAGATTCCAGATTGGGCTGCAGATGATGAAGAAGAGGAGGAGGAGGAGGAGTTGGCCAGGCCCACGGAATTGCCCGTGGCTTCTGAAGGCGACTCTCATCCCCCAGCCGGGCCTGTTGCATCCGAAGAGGTCACCCGACTTCTCGACTTGATGTCCGAGCAACAAAATTTCTTGCAAAAGCTTCTGGATGAGACCGCAGCGAGGCAAGCAGAAGCAGACCAGCAGCGTATGGTGGATTCACTCTTGGAGACGATCATGAGTGGCGACCAAGCGGAGTCTCTCCGGGTTATTGCCACGCTTCGTCCCCAAGATTTGCGGGATTCCAGAGACCTCGCAGGCATGACCTGCTTGCATCATGCTGTTCGTGTCGGTGATCAACAAGTCATCTTTCAGCTCCTGCAGAAGGTGCCCGAGTTGGCGAATGTACCGAGTAGCATTAGACGCAATCCTCCCGGATGGACCCCGCTCATGCTGATTGCTGACAAGGCTCCGGCTGAGACCGATCAATATGTGGTGGGCCTACTTTGTGCAAGCATGACAGCCGAGGCATTCAACAACCGCTCAGGCACCTATGCTACGGCGACTCATCTGGCGGTTGCCCGTGGGAATCTCCCGATGGTGAAGAAGATCCTATGGAGGATGAATGACCTCGGCGGAAGGAATCTCGTGGTGTCCCACCTGAAGATGCAGAATCAGATGGCCAGGAACTGAGTTGATGATTATAATTATAATTATACTTATATTTTATTCTAGTTACTAGTTCGTTATTACAGATTATCTATGGTAATGAAAGGTAGAGTTTTGATTTGGGATTCAGCAGAAGGCTCACTAGAAGAAGGGATATGATAATTTACCATCTGTTGAATCTACCAAGGGCCGCACGCAATTGGACGTTGCAATGCGTTGCAACCGTGAACTTGCCAACTATCTCGTGTGGTGGGAGGCTAGCTCAAACGTGCCCCCTCCGAGCCAGGAGGACCGAGACTGGTACCGCTGGTGCTTGGATTTCATTTTCAGCATAATTTTCGTTTGCTTTATTGACTAGTGGTTATTATAGTTATTGGCTAGATCAGCAGCATTATCTCTTAGATATAGAGCATGAACTGGAATTGGTCCGAAGAACAGGAGCCTGTCCTAAAGTACAATAAGATATATTCTTGTAGTTTAGTAGTAGAAGGTTCAATGAAAGTCTTCAGGGTAGAACAGAGACTCGAGCAAATAGTCGGTATCATTACAATTAGAAGATTCGGTTTGACAAGGTAGCCTTCTGATGATGTTAATCAATCAATGACATAAATGATTGGACTTCCGGGCTACAATTTAATTTAATCTACAACTTTCAACGACTGTCGGTCATAGTCAGGATTCGTTGAAAAGTTATTCTGAACTCATGGGTGTGCAATATAAGGAGAGATGTCTAGATCTATAGATAGATATATGATATCTGATATCTGAATTCTGAATTTTCGTCGGGGATTGATTAGCTGATTCGTTACTATACATGTTTGGCCTACCGAGGGCCAATCCTGACCATGGTTGGGACTATTACCGCGGCCGCTGAAGCGGCCTCTGGCCAGGGGGAGTATCTCTTCCCTACTTTTGCACAATTCAGAAGGCAGCTCCTAGCCGCCCCAGCGGGATTCGGCAGCTTCAGGTACGTTCGAAGTTCTAAAGGTAAGTAGTTATATTGACTAATTAGAAGGGGTGGGGCCTCAGGCCGCGATGGCCTAGGCACAGCTGGTCTTCTGCTAGGAGTTGCCTTCGATTGTGAGCCTGCTCGTTGCTCAATGTGACGCAGCAAGCTCATCGAACCGGCTAAAAGACCCGAGACGGCCCGAGCCGCGCCCGAAAAAAAGCACGGCTATGGCTGTAGGCTATATAGGCCATAGGCTATAGCTCCGATTTCTGGTTAATGTTTGGTCTGGTTCCCCGATAATCGGTTATGAAATATTCATATTTATCTAGCTGGCAAGCGACACTTAAGAATTTTCGTCCGGATGAATCGGTATGAACCACAAATACTTAACACTGAGTTAACACTTTTCAATCAGGCATGTAGGATGGAACCCAATTCGAGTCATCGTCATGCTCGCAAAAGGTAGCTCCAGCCGGTAGATGAACTGAAAGATCCGAAGCAATCCGAAACTTTACAAATTCCTACGAAGCCCCCGCACTTTGACCATATCCAAGCCAAAGACCCCATTGCCAATATTGTAGAAGTCCTCACTTCTGCCCTGGACCTTCTCTAAATAGACGAATCGGATCCTGCCAGGACCACTCGTTCATGTTTGCCGTCCTGGTTGCTGCGTGAACCAGCAGGAGAGCGTCCGCAAGGCCAAGAAACTTATTCAAGAGTCTTTGATCCGGGCGGTCTCGGTACCAGCATTGAATAAGTGGACCAAGGTATTCCCATGCACTGGGGCAGTGACTCTTTTGGCACATTTTCATGGTTTGGCTAGTGAAGCCTTTAGATCCATGTTTGGTGCGCTGTCAGAGCAGGAAGAGTCCCAGTCTGATGATAATCAGGAGGATCGTGCGCTTGAGGTGCCGGTAAACGAAATCAAGAAATGGAGGAAACTGGCACGGAAACGAAACAAGAAAGCCATGATGTTTATCACAGACAAGGAATGCAGTTTCGTGAACATGATGTGGGTGCATATTGCCTCTCCTGTCATGACTCTTCATTGGTCATTATTTCGGAATGCTACATGGTTTAGTGATAGACCAGATCCGGACATTGAGGAAAATGCGAAACCCAAGACACATCAAATCGCGGCATTCTGTGAGCCGGTCGATAACCCAGCTTTGCAAATCGTCGAAACGCTCATGAAGCTTTTGCTGCGTCCGGACGAGAGCCTCCCTGCCATGGGTTTTTTCTATGGTCGCTTCGATACTTGGTCGCAGCCCCGCAAACGAGCTTTTTGGTTGGCCGTACTAGTCACTATGGGCCAGCTAGTTCAAAAGCTTGTCGAACCTTTCTTGGAATATCCATGGCGTTTGTGGCCACTATGTGGTTCCATGAAAGCTGATGGCCGCAATCGAATTTCAGCAGAGCAGCGGGAGGATTGTGCACGGCAGCTTCTGTCTGCTGAGAGTTGCTGTTGCGATCCCGGGTTCTCTGCTCGACTGCGGTCATTGACCTGGGAAGAACTGGTGGATGAGGGAATCCGTGAGTTTCTTGAAACCATTTTTTTCGAGAGTGGTCTTGACATCGACTTTCATCGAGCGTAAGTTTGCAAATTTTACAAATTGGACACCTTCATCCATTCAGCTTCTCGCTGCGAAACATTTCACAAGAAGCTTCAGCGATTCCGTTTCTTCCTGGCGTACGAAGAGCGGCTTTAAGCCAGGAAGCAAGAAGCGACGTCCCACTTGGTGCGGCAAAGTGGGTAAGATCAGTCGACAGACCGGGTACAATGTATTTATTAGAGAGCAGAGGCAAGCGAGGAACAGCAGTATCCAGGGTTCCGCTGCGGCCGAAGGTTTCTTGAAGGACTGTCAGGTTCTCTGGCGTGCCCTGCCTAAGGAGGCAAAGGAATCCTTTGGAAGAAAGGCTCAGGCAGAAAACATTCGGTCTGATATGTTGAAGCAAGCACAGGCGGATGCCGAACCGGAACCTCTCCAGGCAGGAGGGCCATGGCGATTATCTTTCATTCCAGAGAAGGATGGGCCAACTTGGCCATTGTCAGCTGATGCGTTGGAGACGACCCTGTCTGGAAAGGATGCTTTCGGAAGGGAGTGCAAAGCATGGGCCGAGGCTTGCGGCAATAATTCTTGAAGCTCTTGTTCAAATTTAAGCTATTAAGTTGTGTCGGTATCAGCTAGCAGTGAATAGGTTGCCTTTACCAAGCGAGTGTCCTGGCCCAGCAGTGAAGTGTTGCCTCAACCGCGGGCGGCCCTACGATTCGTATGGCCGCCCGCGATTGCGGCAACATCCAAGCAGGCTCTCGTCACACCGTTGGCCGGGTATGAAGGCAAGCGTATGACAACTTGTTATGCCCAGGTCCGACCCCTGCTGGGCGGGTCTTGTGAACAGGTGGGGTTGCGGCCCACTTGGGACCTGTGAGCATGTCATGTGCTACTTGTGGGAGGCCTTTGACCATGTTGGAGTGATGTGCTGTGGGACTATTGATTGGGTTTCTTCAGATCCTCTCTGTGGTTTGGCTCCGGCTAGCCCCAAATATTGCTGCTGGGTCGAGTCTATAAGTCCCAGAGCCACGATTGTGCCTTCCCAAATGATTCCTAATGTTTACCTGGCACAAATTGGAAGTGGTGAGGGGATGGGCAGATGAGTTCAGGAAGCAATGTAGGATACAAGCAAAAGTGCAACTTTATGTAATTTGTGGTATGTATGTATAATATAATAATAATAATAAATAATAATAAAATAATGTAATAATAATAATAAATAAATAAATAAATATATATATACATGTAATTGTATCAGTCTGTGTTGTTTCAGACGAGGCTCATTCCGTCCCGGAAGATGCAGAGCATGATCTACATCTTCATGAAGGCAGCCATTTGTTTGCGGTGTGCCCACCAGGTGGTTGCACAGCAAATTTGACAGCTGCCCAGCTCTCAGAATTTCGGAATTTGCACACAGGCTTGAGTGTGTTGGTCCGAAGATACAGCCCGGCCAAAAATCAGTTGTCTGTCAACCCACTCGTCTTATTGTGGGAGAGTCAAGCTTGTGAGTCAGTATTTGCTGCAGTGCTGGCATTTCGTACCCATGTGTCTGACATGGATATGATTTTCTTCGAGCTTTGTGGGGATTCTGGTTTTGCACAAAACCTTCCGTTTGATCTGCGATTCAAAGAGCACGCTCTCAGAGCTGGGGCTGCCAAACATTGGAACGACATGGCCATTTGTTGTCACTTAGCACGACAGGCACAAGACTGGCAGCCAAGTCTGTTGTTGTTGGGGGACATGGGCCCTGCAGCTGGTGTGTTTCATGTCATCGAGCGGAAAGCTTTCGATGTGGCTGATTTGTTGGCAGATGCGGAGCAGCTCAAAGAAGAACAGCGAGCTTTGCGAGCTGTGAAGATTGCACACGGGCATGGGAAGAAGCGAAACCGACGAGGAGCAGGGCGTGCCAGGGGTGGGCGGGCTGGAGGAAGAGGCAGAAGAGGAAGGCGTGGGCGGCGACGAGGTCCAGGACCAATTGCAAGGAATGCTGGCAATGCCGCGGCAGCAGAAGCCGATGCTGATGATGGTGATGACATCGAGGATGAAGACGAAGATCGAGCTGAGGATGGTAATGAGATGAGCGATCACGATGAAGATGAGATCGTTGAGGCTGATGATTTTGCTGATGAAGACGATACCTGGGACTTCCCACCTGCGGCCGCAGTGCCAGGATCGGCTCCAGCTTTGGCGGCCGCAGCGGCACCAGCTCCAGCGTCTCCGGCTGCACCGCCAGGACCCGCTCCAGCCCAGCCGAGCCCGGCTCCGGCCGCAGTGCCAGCCCCTGGAGCTCCAGGTTCAGTCCCAGTTCTTGCTGCAGTGCCAGGCTCAGGATCAGCTCCGTCTGTCGGCGAAGATGCAGCCCCCCCGCCGCCGCCTGTTCGGGGAGAGGTGGAGAGGCCAAGGAACCGAACGAATCAAAGGCGAGGGGTTCCATGGGGGCCGTTCATGATATCGCCCATAGTACCCAAAACCGGTCACTCCGGCTGGGGGGCTATTTGTGGTGCACACAAGGACAGGGGCGAAGGTCAGAACATGTTGTGCAAGAAAGCGGTCAGTATGGGGACTACTCTCAGCAATGCAGATTGCATCTTGAGATTGAAGCGATGGCTCGTTGCCGGTATGGAGGACTCTGAGTTTCCGAGGCACAGGATGCGCTCCCACCACGTAAGCCTCGGCGGGGTCGGTTTAGCTGCCTTCGCACACGGTTTGTCCGAAGAGGAGCTCGATGCTCGAGTCGCACAATTGGAGCGAGGAGACCGGTAGTCAGGCGCGGCTGCTGCAGTTTCTGAAACCGACAGGTGGATTGTTTTAAAAAGTAGGAGAAATAAAAAAAATAAAAATAAATATTTTTTTTAAAAAAATAAATATTTTAAAATAAAATAGAAATATTAGAAAAAAAAGATTTGGGGTCTAGAAAGTTTAGTTAGAGAAAATGGTGGTTTAGTTAGAGAAAACAGTTGTTTAGTTAGAGAAAATAGGGTTTTAGTTAGAGAAAAAATGTTTCTCATATTTCTCCTTTTTTTCTAAATTTTTCAGAAATAAATAAAATATTTCAAGAAAATTGAAAAATGTTTCTAAAATATTTCTCGAAAAATAAAAAATATTCTAAGAATTTTCCTGACTGTTTTCCCAGATTCTTTCCCTGAGGTCTGCCAATTGGGGCTGTCAGCGGCATCTTGCCTGGCAGCAACAGATGGGCGGCCTATCCTGAGGACTTTCTCCAGGTAGCCTCGCAGTATGTTGTCTTGGATGTTTGCCTCGAGGCGTCATATCGAGCCGGGAAGTCATGCGGAGTCTCTCCTGGTTCCAACTGGTTACTAGAGCACAGGCAAGCGGGGTTCGGTGTTCAAATTCACTAGATTTTTTGATGGGTCTGGACTCTACGATATTCTGGTCAGGTTCCACAGTGCATGTGTAAAGTGACTCGGCAGGCATATAGGAGAAGATTCCACAGGGGTCAGAGTCGGTGTGGGAAGGCATTCCAAAGGAGATGCGCCCCTGTAGATTGCGGGAATGCAAAGGCTGCAAGGCACAGACAAAGAGGCGGCGTGCCTTGAGCTGAAATACTCCTTGCCACAAGGACATGATAGAATTCTTGCTAGTTCTAGGTCTAGAGCGAACACTGCAGAAACCCATCCTCAATTCTACCTGCCTGCACGGAAACGAAAGTGATGGCCGCTTCTCAGGCTCGGGACTGGACTTGCCCAGGCACAAGGGACAGTGCTTTTGTAGGTCCATGGTCCACTATCTATTGCCATTACACAGATCTCATATATATATATATACATTATTAAGCTGGTTATTAATAAGAAACTCCATATTATTTTATCTTTGGAATCAGGAGCCATAGGTTACAGAGGTTACTTGAAATTTCAGTTGACTTTTGCAGGGCGGTCTTTTTGTCTCTGTTGTAGTTGTTCCCGGTCTTTCTTGGCGAAGCCATGCCGGGGCCAGGGAGTGCAGCACCCAGTCGCACGAGTGGTATGAGTGGTGTGGCAGATGAGTCAGAGTTGGCTGAGTTTTTCGCAACATCGGATCACGAAGAAGCGGACTCTGTCCAGGGGAGACCGAAGCCCTCACAACCACTTAAGCGAAAGCGTAAGATTGTTTTCAATCTGAGCAAACCGTGCACCTGCTCACTGTGCAATTCCAAAAGCACAGATAACAGCCCGTTGATAGATGCGGATGCAGCTGACAATTGGGCAGGCAAAAGACCCTGGGCAAAGTATCGACAAAATGTTCCGGACCAGGACGGCAACCTCGTCGCAGTTCCCGAAGGCAAGGTTTGTCTTATGTGCCTGAACGTTTTCAAGTTGATTGGATTGCAGACAAAGTACGGCAGCTACAAATCCTACGCTGAGAAGATCAAGAGCAAGTCTGTGGATCATAACGAGTTTTTGGCCGCGTTAGCTGAGTGGATCAAAAGTCACAACAAAGATCCTCAGCGGTCTCGAATGGACCAGGCACAGAAGAGGGCAGTGCAGAAAGCACAGACCAAGCTAAAGACAACAAAGGACACCGGAGTGATGTTTGAAGCTCCCGAGACCTTCTTCGTGGCCCAGGAAAATTGGGATGAAGCCAAGTATGGTCCACTTGACGAATCGAAGCTTGAAGAGAAGAATCTCTTTGGCAAGCTAATCAAAGGTGCTTTTGTTCAGACCGGCAAGACTGGACACTACAAGGTGAAAGACTTCGAGAAGCGGAGTCTTGTCGAGGAAACCGAAGAGCACTCAGGTGACCAGGAGATGTTCAATGAACAGGGTCTGGCGAATAAGTCGTCTGCGATCGCTGCCACTTTCAATGAAGCTCAGCAGGAGAGACGTGCTGCAGCCGTGGCTGCAAAAGCTCCCCAACAGCTTGATATGGACTCTATCCTTTCACTCATCCAATCCTCAGGGTCAGGGAGTGTGTCGCAAAATGCCGGGAAGCCTGCCGAGGCTGCTCCTGCTCCTTCCGTTCCAACTGCTGCAGAAGAGAGAGAAGACGAGAAAAAAAGCAGCTCATCAGAGGAGGACGTGGCGGTCGCGGACCGGTTGGCATTGACTCGCAAGGCCTCTGCGAAAGGTAAGGCCAAGGCCAAGACTGTTTCGAAGGCAGCATCCGGCGGCTCCAAAGAACTTCCAAGCTCAAGAAATCCTCCGAAGAGTAGTCCGTCTGTTCCCAGCATCGATACACCATCGGCTATGCCGCAGCCCATCAAGCAAGAGCCGCTTGTGGAAGCACAGTCGGCACAGACCTCAGAGAATATGACGGTGAATATGGATGGACGAGGGCTACGCCTCAAAACGACCGTGACCAAGAGCCTCGATGAGCATAAGCGCAAGCTGGAGCCGCTGCTGATTTTCGACAAGAGCTACAGCTGGCACGACAAGAAGGCCAACAATGGTCGTGGAAAGTCTCTTACTTCCCTCAAGAATCATCTGAACAATCTCAAGAAGAGAGTGGATGAGTCTCCCAACAAGAGGGGCTTGATGGAAGAGTTGAACAGCATCGAGGAAGTGATTTCTGTGGTCTCCGCGGCCAGTACCCTCAATGGTGGGCTTGTTTCGGCAACCCCAAAGTCCGAGGAGATAGACCAGGCTATCCGTGAGTTGGAGCAATCACCTTTTGCAGGGTCCCATTTCAAGGTCTCTGAAGCGATTTGGTTCAAGTTACTCGAGATCAAATGCAACGAGTTCATGTTGTATCGCAATATCACGGAGTATTGCAGCAGTTTCGCGGACAATGCGCCTGAGGCCTGGTAGATTGCATTGACATTAATATGATCGACTCTAACAACTAATAACTTAAGAATTTTGTAAGGGTGTGGGGGTTTAGGGGTTTAGGGGTTTAGGGGTTTGGGGGTTTGGAGGTTTAGAGTTGAGGGTGCTTTCTAAATTGAAGGGGCTGGGGGGGGAGTGGGGGGTTGATTATTTAGGACTGAGGATCTTAGGAAGAAAAAGGTTCATTTTATCTCGGCTATCTGAATATAGAGGGCTGATGTTACTGATGTTGCAGGATATAGATTTTTTGATTTTTCACTACTTACCTGTATTGCTAGCAGGTCAAGCGCATGCGTGATTCTGGTATCTCCGATGAATTGATTGCGGACTTCGTCCTGAACGAGGTTGAATCTAAGCTGACAGGGATCCTCAAGGAGATCCCCATGAAAGAAATTTCCGATGCCAGCTCTTTCGGTCGTGAACAAGCCATGAACTTGTGCGAGGCAGTTGCACACGCCGCAGAATCACATGCGCTCCTTGAGCAGGTGGCCAAGAGTGCGAAGATTCTGCTCGGTCTTCTGCAGAATCAAGATTTGCGACGTTTGGCGGATGCTTTGGAAGCAGTCCAAACTTATGATGGTTCTGAGGCAGTTGAAGGGGATGAAGGAGATGAAGATTCTCAAACAACAGCCGGGATTTTTGCTTTCCTGAAGCTACACGTAGCTGGCGTGGCTCTCATGAGTGATGCCAGCACAAGATTGAAAGCTGGACAGAACCAGTTGGAAGGCGAGCTTATAGTTAGCAACCTCATGGATCTGTTTCAAGATTTGAAAAAGCTGGCGAAGCCTTGGGGCCTGCGGGGGTTGGAAGAAAATCTGCTGCCATTCTGGAAGCAGGCCTCAGGCCGTGACGAATCCAAGCTCAGTTCGAAGCAGAAACAGACTTGTGACTTGATGATACGGGAATTTTTTGGAGTCGTCAGAGAGGGTTTCCAGAGTGAGTGCTGCAATACCTTATCGGGTTGTCTAGAAGTTCTTCTGGAGCTGTGGGATGCGAAAGCGGAGGCGGCCTCCGCGCCAGGGGAAATAGCTGAGGAAGAGCTTAGTTTGAACCTTCCCGAAGTCTTGGATGCAATCCGCATGAAGGATTATTGCTGCCATCCCTTTTGGGCTGCGGTGGATGCCCAAATGCCAGATGATCTTGTTCAAGTCCTCAAGGATTATACTGATAAGGCTTTCCGATTTTGCCATCTAGTGGAATATGTCTTCGCCTCCAGGAACATCTTGCCTGCACTTGAGCAGACATACCCGACACCGGAGATGTTGCGACATTGGTCTCAGGAACTAGTTCCATCTTTGAAGCCTTATGTGGATTCAAAAGAGCTGCTGCAAGAGTGTGAAGGTGTTTTTGCTACTGCTGCGGCTGAGGATCTGCAGAAGCAGACAATGTCGTGCTTCGAGGAAGTTGGCAAGATAACCTCGAAAGTGCATGCAACAGTATTGACCAATGTGGAGGTTTTGGTTTCGTCCATGAGTCCTGCCCTGGCCTTCGAGTCTCAAGCCAAGTTGACCTTGCCACAGACAGGAGATTGGTCTCACGTGCTCACCCGCTTCTTTGAGGTACGGTCGGTGGAGCTTTGTTGTTGTGCTTCGGAATTTCTGAGGTCAGTATAAATATTCAATTATAGTCCGCGGTTTGGTTTAGAGTAGGTTCTTCGGTAGATGAAGATTTAAGGTTTTTTCGTTAATGTTTTGTTTCTATGCAATAATTTTGAGTTAATGTGAAGATTAGATTGGAACAGTTTTTTCTAATTTCAGAATTAGAATCGTCAAGCCCAGAATTGAATAATAGCTAATATAAAGACGACATCGATCTGAGGCTCATTTCGTATTCATTTGATCTCTTTCAGATTCCTAATGTTTAAGCCGCTTGATCATAGACATATATATGTATGTGTTTCTAAGGTGTGTGTGTGTGTGTGATTGCATGTGTAGGTGTATGTATATGTGTGGTGTTTTTTGATCCGTACAACATCGTATCTATCCGTCTATCTGAATCTTTCTATGCTATTTTGATCGGCTATGATCGGACCTATCGGTCTTACGAAGGAGACGAATCTAATTACTAATTTGTAGATCCAGTACTAGAATCAGGTTATCAGATTCCGAATCAATAGATTATTGATTTTTGACGTAGGACTAGACTATATAAGTTATTATTATGTATTATATAAGGTTTCAAACCTGCCAGGTTGGTAAAGCTTGCAGCAATTGCACCAAGAAGAATCTCACATTGATGGAGCATGTCGCCATCTTGCAAAGCCTGCAAGATCTCAGAGATGCAATGGAAGAAGAAAAGAAGAGCAAATGCGAGAAATTGAAGGCTACCCAGCTCGTTTCGGAAGAAGCATTTGTTTGGGTTGACCGAGCCGTTGGCCTTATGGCCATAAAAGTCAACAGCCTGTGCAATGACCATGCCGGATGCTTGGACACGGCGATCCGCGCGGCCTCAGGCCTGGCTTTGAAAATTCCTGAGTTCAAGCAAGAAGGCCACTATAGGGAGACTATCGGGAAATTATCTCAGAAGATGGCAAGCGATGCCAAGAAACTGAGTCTTATGGCTAGCGAATTCAGGAGTGCTTCCCTTTCATTGCCACCTTGTGCTGAACGAGACGGATACCTTCAGAAGGCTAAGATCGCAGCAGGTGTGTCGCAACTACTGACGACCCACGTCACACTTTTCGCTTGCGTGACAATGCTCCGAAACCCCGCTTTGAACACAAAAAGTGAAGCAGCCAAGAAAGCTGCAAAGCAGTTAGAGAACCTCGTCTTTACTCTTTTGTCACAAGACCTTCGTGCCACTCCTCCTTGCGATGCCTTGGCTGATACAGCACTGGTCAATCTTTGGGACGAAGCCCGTGATGCAGTTCTGCACTCAGGAGCAGATCTCGAGAGCTCTTAAATATATATTATATATATATAAATAATATAACGCTTCATCTTATATTATCGTTTCGTTTGAGTCCTTACAGTCCTTACTGTCGTATACTAACTATTCCTGACTGTTGATAATAATTAATGATTAATAGTCTGATAGACTGATAGACTACTGATAGACTTATCTATATTGTATTGACTTGACTCAATCTCAATTTCAACAGTTTTGGTTTTATCTCACTATGAAATCACTATGATTATGACTATTGCTACCGTCCTCATCTGAATACCTCTAAATCTTTCCTTCTTCTATCTATTCCCTCCAATGCACTTGAGGTGAAAGCCGTCACCAACAAATTCGGAGTCGACGTCGAGAAGTTGTGGCAGGAGACAGTGGGAATCAGATCTTCCTTGCCCCCATTGAGGGACAGCGACCTAGAGTCCTTGCGGAGGGAGCCAGCAATGGCAACTGGTGCCAGCGATGCTACACCCACGGCAAACCAGAGTGACCAGCAAGGCCAGGCGGCGCCCGAGGCCAAGAATCAGGCGCCCTCGGAGGCAGGCACGGCGGAGCAGGTGGTAGATGTCGTAGAGACAGCGAACAGCATCGCTACACCTGCGGAGGCAGGCACTGCCACCGCACGTGCAACTGAGGGAATCTCTGCTGCAGTCCCTGCCGAAAAGGAAGATTTGAATGCTGAAGCTGCCCCTGCTGCAGCCCCTGCCGAAAAGGAAGATTTGAATACTGAAGCTGCCCCTGCTGCAGCCCCTGCCGAAAAGGAAGCTTTGAAGGCTGAAGCTGCCCCTGCTGCAGCCCCTGCCGGAAACGAAGATTTCAAGGCTGAAGCTGCCCCTGCTGCAGCCCCTGCTGGAAACGAAGATTTCAAGGCTGAAGCTGCCGAGCAAGATGAACGAGGGGCAGTGGCAACCGACAAAAACGAAGGAGGTGATTCTGATTCTGATGTTCTGGTTCAGATGGATCCTGCGGCTGCTGCCAGGAAGGATACCAATGCTGCCAATGCCAATCCTGAGCCTGAAAGCAACCCTGAGCGAAAACGAAAGGTCGACACGACTCAAGGATCTATGGCACCCGATCAGAAGTTTGGGGGGAAGAAGCCGAAAACAACGCCCACGGAGGCAAAGCCAGAGCTTGAGAAGGAAAGCAAATCTGAGGACAAGAAGACGGAGAAGAAAGAGAAGAAAGAGAAGAAGCAGGATAAAAAAGACAAGGGCGACAAAGAAGGCAAGCGCGAGAAGAAGGATAAATCGAAGGATAAATCAAAGGAGAAAAGCGAGAAGAAGGAGGACAAAAAACAAGAAAAGAAGGCGGATAAGAACGACAAGATCTCCAAGAAGGAGAAGAAGGAGAAAGTCGACCGACCTGTGGCCTCCAACTCGGCTGCGAGCAGCAGCGGCCGCCGGCCAGCAGAGGCGACCCTTGGTCTAGCTGCGAAGTTTGCCAGGGGACCTTTGGATGAAAGTATCGGATTCGCGCAGTTGTTTGGCATCACGAAAAAGAATCCTATCGAGCGCAAGCCGATTGAGGCGCCCAGTGCCGGCAGGGGCCGTGGCCGAGGTGGCCGAGGGGGCAGCAAGAAGAAGTGAGCAGGGTCTCTGACCGCGGACAGTCGCATCCAAGTGGGACCGAGGGGTCCCCTTGCTTTTAAGCTTGAAACTGCTTTCGGCAGTCTGGCAGTTCGCTTGCGCTAGAGCGAGGAAAAAGGGCGTGCTCAATGCTGTGAATGCTGCATGCATGTTCTTAGAGAGAGAGAGAGAGAGAGAGAGAGAGAGAGAGAGAGAGAAAGAGAGACAGAGAATTTGAGATAATGGTCATAGCGAGTAGGAAGACTTAACAGTTAAGAATCAAGAGTAAATAAGCATTAGTATTAGCATTGTTATTAGGTAGTTAGGAATAATGACTGAGAGACTGTAGTTATATTCTAATCATATACAAGTTAAACGGATGCCGAATAGCCGTATCGACCGCTGACGCCGTCTCGCAACCGAAGCCATTGGTCCATCATCTCTCATCTAGGCCACCTTCTGTAATTGATCTGGAATTTGCAAATACGGAAATAACCAGTCCTGGGTACTTTTAGTCTTTAGTAGTAGCCCTCATAGACTTGCCATGGATCAGCATCCAACTCGGCGCCTACAGAAGCGGCCAACGGTGGATCCAACCGAGTTGCAAGAATGGAAATCCAAAGCTAAATCTCGAGTTCTGCCGGCGGAGTCTCTCCAGGATGGCACTTGGCTACTGACTGTAGCTGAGGAGAACTTTGAAGCTTGTTCTAGCATGTGTCATTCTGTGCCTGGGTGCCCGCCTCGACCATTGACATGGGGTTCATGTTGCTCAGGTTCTGAAGGGGTCCGCTTCTGCACAGAAGCAATGAACAGAGTCTATACAGAGCTCTCTGGATCGTCGAAGATTTTGGTTCACAAGTTTAGTTGTGAGAGTAATCCTGAGAAGCAGAGCTGGATCGCTGCCGTCGATCGCCTTGCAGATGGCACTATGAATAGGATCTCAGAGATTCTAGAAGCGAAGCATGATGCGGCGGGTTCCACCCAGGTTCCGAAATCTGAATCTGATGATGGAACATCGCACGATTGCCATGAGCACGGAAGTTCAAGTTCAGGCTCTAGCTCGTCTTCGAATGCGGTCAATGACCAGGAGCCGAAGGAGGACAACGATGACAAAAGTGAAGCTGGCGCCTCTGAGATGGATGCCGTCTCTGACGTGGGTGCAGATGAGCCTGCTCAACCTGTTTGTATCTTCCGGAACATCCTGGATATGGCTTCTGCAGAAGCAGAGTGTGTTGTCCATAAGAAGAAATGTCCGATTCCGACGGTTGATATCTTGGTGGTAGGGACTAGTTGCAAAGATATGTCTAGGATCAACAACGCCGCTCCGAAATCCGCAGTTCTTCGAATGGAGGCTAGCAAAGGGGGTAGTGCTCAAACATTTCAGGGGCTCCTGGGACTATTGGATACAAGGCCTCCTGCGATTGTCCTTTTCGAAAATGTGGACACTATCGACGACAACAAAGATGGTGGAGAGAGCAATCTAGATATCTTCAAGGCTGAAACGAGCAGTCGCGGATATGATGCTCAAGTTGTTATGACAGATGCATATGAGTTTGGATTGCCGTGTAGACGACGTCGAGTCTTCATTCTACTCGTTCGCACCAGTAATAATCTTCTTTTGGATTTTCATTCGCGGACTCTGTCCGGGATGTTCACCACTTTCGGCGCACTCCTGCACGGATGTTTGAGGTCAGCGACTTGTGCTACAGATATGTGGCTCCCGGCCGATGATCCGGCAGTTCTCCGCGAGCTCGAGACTCGTGAAGAGAAGCGAGCATCAGAGCGGGCTCGGAGAGAGAAAGATGAAAAAGAAGGCAAGGCCCTGCCTACGCCGTCAAGTGGTTGGGTTGATCAACATATGCAGTTCGCCTCCTCACTAAAGCGACGTTGGGGAGTAGCACCGCCGGCAAAGCTGCAAAGCAACCGATGGTTCCAGATTTTGACGCCTCGTGAACAAGATATGTTGCCGCACCTGCAAGCAGAACATCCCGAGATTTGTATGCGTGATGTCTCTCAGAATATCTTTCGAGCCAATCATGCCTCGATAGATAAAGCTACGGGCTTCCTGATTGCGCCCACGGTGCTACCAAAGGCACTCATGTGGATCGAAGACAAAAATCATCGGGAAGATAGCAGACTACTACTAGGACGGGAGGCCTTGCTCTATCAAGGCTTCCCATCTTTGCCATTCCTACAGCAGCTTCAAGAAGAATTGTTTCAACATCTCGCGCAACAAGGGCTGCAAGGGGATGGGCCTCAGGCCGCGATTCGACGGCAAGCATCATCCTCAAGCGTGGGGTCTCAGACCGCGAAGATTCAACGCCAGCTCAGTTCCTCAAGCCTAGGCGGGCGAGGGCTTCAAGCCACGTGGAGCCCTTCCGAGGTTCTGATGCAAGACCTCGCAGGGAATGCGATGGCATTGCCCGTCGTACTCGCGATGTTGCAGTGTGCTTTCGGTGCACTTTCTTGGCGAGCTACCGGGTCTGTGGCTCAGGCATCCACTACTGAAGTTTCTCGGATTCGGATTCGATATGACCTGTTTGAGCTTGTGATTCGTTTCTTTAGCTTTGAAAGGTGTGGATTAACTATTTTGAGGTTTCAGGCTGCAGGCTTAGGCTAGGCCTATTTAAATCAGTCAACTCAGGATCTGCAGGCCGCCCTTGTCGCCATGGAAGAGCTCACCAATCAGAAGCCGGAGCCCGCTAATCAGACGTCAGCTCGTAGAGCTGCTCTTAGTCCATTGGAAGCAAGGCTTGCGAAGCGTGCCAAGAATCGAGACTGAGTGTGAGTGGGCTGCGAGGAAGTGGCAAAAAAGGATTTCCGGGCTTTCAAATTAGAGATTGCTAGAATATTTGGGGATTTTTCCGATGTTTCGTATTTTTTACAGATTTTTTAGAATATTTAAAAGAATATTTCGAAAATTTGAAAGAATATTTAAAATATTTCAAAAATATTTCGAAACATTTAAAAGAATATTTAAAATATTTCAAAATGTTTCGAAACATTTAAAAGAATGTTTGAAATACTAATTTTATATAAACTATACTATACTATACTAACTATATACGAACCAAACCACAGGCCTTTTAAAACCGCCCAACTTAAATGGCCCCATATCAGGGTGTGGGTGCAAATTGCCGGTAAATGTCTGTACCCCGAACACGAAACCCTGAGCGCTAAACCCCAAGCCCTAACACGCCAGGGACCTCCCCCGGACGAAGACTACGCCAGGCGCTGCGGCGGCTTCGTCATTGCGTCCGCGGAGTGGAACAGCCTCGGCTGGACCACCCGCAGTTCGCTGCGCGCAATGCTGCTTTGCCGATCTCTGCAGGGCCGTCGCTTTGCGACGCGGCTGCCGCAGCTGCCGGAGTGAGCGCTGCGCTGCCAGTTCCCAATTTACACTTTAAACTTTCTTTAAACCCCAAATGCCGGCATCATGGACATGGTCATGCAACTGGAGCAGGGAGTGCTCACATGTTGTGCCGGAGGTTGGATCCGGGGCGAGCTCGTCCCACATTCCGCCTAGACCTAAATTCCGTGCTCCTGAACCTCCTCAAGGGACGAGCGGTGTTGTTTCGAGGAAAACACCTGATCCACCACTGCATCGACCTCGGCCTGGACCTGGTGTGGTTCCTCGTTCGCCGAGGGTTTTCCTGAGTAGTTCGAGGAAGCAGCAGAAGCCGAGAAGGGGAAGAACCCGTGAGGGAGAGATTGGATGGAGACCATGAGGGTGACTTTGACGAGGACGCACAAGCCCTACCCACTGCGAATGCCTCTCCTGGTGATGTGGGACAGGGGGTGGGGGACATCCCCTTCCAGCTCAATGCCCGTGATCTAAGTACTTGTTTCCATATCGCCAGCCTGGTAGTCGCCGAAATATATCACCTCCTGCGCGTGATTGCTGGGCCAGCGATGCAACCAGGCCAAGTGGATGTGAGGACAGGCATCAGCCACTTCCACAACCACATGAGCATCTGACACCGGGAGCGCCACCAGCGGCTCGGCAGGCACCTCCACCGTAGTTGGCTCCGTCGTCTGAGCTTCTTCTTCTTCCTCCACGCCATACATATGCAGAGTCGGCGCATCCTCAATGAAGCTGCCCGACCCAGCACCACTGGTAGGAACTTCTGTGAGCCCCGTGTTAGGCCGAGTCCCCACGTCCCCCGTCAGAATGCCCCAGACAGGAGTTTCATGGAATGTAGGTTATTCACCCCTCAGCCCTCTGCAGAGCCGTATATCGTTCCACGTGTCACGACACGAAAGGCCCAGGATAGGCTGTGAGGGTTGTGGGATGAGCTCGCCCCCGGGGATGGGTACGGCGCCCGTTACGGCGCTCTGGTGGGTACTACATGCGAAGGGCCAGAGGGTTGAGTGCGCCAGGCGGAAGAGGACGTCTCGTAGGGCCTTCCTCTTTGGAGTCAACTTCGGTAACGGTGCCCGTGGCCACTTCAACCCCGTCTACATCTTCTACTACGTCCATGACTATATCGATGACTATGTCTACGCACACAACCTCAATCGCTTTGGCTACCACAATGGCTTGTTCGCTTTGATGATGGCTTCTCGTCTTTGGGTTGTATGTCTCTCTGAGCATTTTGCACATTTCTGATCGTCGGTGACCCGTCAAGAACGTTCATATTGGTCGAGGGTACGTGTCGTTATGCATGTCTCACCCAGTGTAGGCTCGCAGAGCCTGGATTGGTCGTAAAGTCCGCTCCATTGCACTTCAAAAAAAACCCAAGCCCTAAACCCTAAGCCCTAAACCCTAATCCCTAAACCCTCAACCCTAAATTGCACGTCTGAGATGTGTTGCAGATCGGGTTCACGGTTCCACCGGAGTCCTGGCCTCCGACCAAGCAAAAACCATCCAACTTGGCATGCACTCCCGTGAAAAAGTTTGGGGTTTAGGGTTTCAGGTTTAGGGTTTGGGGTTTAGGGTGTTTAGGGTTTAAGGTTTAGGGTTTCGGGTTTAGGGTGCTTAGGGTTTAGGGTTTATGGCGCTTAGGGTAGGGTTTAGGGTGGCGCAAGAGCTCTACGAGGCATTTCTGCTCAAGGGCGAAGGATGTGCAAACGGGTTTTAAGGTTGGCCGAAGAGCCTGGCCCTGACTCTGGCGAGACTTATTATCTTTATTTATGTTTAGGGTTCATAAGGGTTTAATGTTATTTATGTTTCAGGTTGATGCATGCTAATTACCAGCTGCACTGACACCCGACTGGGCTTGGGTGATTATATGATCAGATTGCTCGGTCTTGGGCGCTGGGGTGTACAAAGCCATGCAGATCCCATACAGGCCCATGCATCATGGTCATCGTCATCAACAGCAGCAGCACCGGACTCACCATCGTCAGCACCGTCATCATCATCATCCTCATCCCCGTCATCCTCATCATCCTCATCGCCATCCTCATCACCATCCTCCTCCTCATCATCATCACCACCATCATCATTATTTCGGCAGCCCTGCAGCAACACCCTGCCAACCCGGATCTTCGGAACAAGAAAATCCGAGACGTTACGAGAATGTTGGGCTTCTTCTTGGTCATGGAGTTCGGGGCTCGTGGTTTCGGGCCGTAGGCAGGGAAATGTGGGAGTTCGATCTGATGTTTCCTTCCGGGCTGAAGGCATGGAGGTGAGTTACTAAATTTGAATTGATGCCATTCCACTTCACCTGAACTCCTGAAGCATTGGGAGCTTTGTTTGTGCGACACTTCAACCGCAAAGACACCTGCCCGCCAAGATCGCCTGTCTGAATGTGTGGAGTTCAAGACAGAGGCAAGTAGAGCGATGCAGACGCAAAGGCCTTGTGGTACATGCAATGTTTTCAGACGATGCAGCCCTGCTCTCTTGATGTTTGCGTGCAGGTGTGACAACATGCCGTGCATGTTTACCTACACAGAAGCATACATATGTGCGCTGAAAGTGGCAAGACAAATAGCAACCTGCAGTCTTACTACAAGTTCTGGAGTTTGTGAGGTCGGGGGGTATCGGAAGAGTGCCTGGATTGCACTTCCGGCGCCATGCAGCGGGTCCAGAACCCATCCAGCTCGCAGGCCCAGGTTGGCGGGAATTCAGCAAAAAACACGGTTCCCTAAGAGTTCCATGTACCCAAATCGTATGTATGGGCCCCAAAGTACCCATATACAAACTATGTTATTAATGCCAAAGTCTATACTATTTGGGTACATGGACCCTCAGGGTTTTTTCGTGGGAGTTGACATGTGGTTTTACAAGGTTTGCATGGGACGTTTCTGCGTTCGGGTTCAGTTGTTTCATTCGGGGTTTTGACATGTTGGCTATCCATAGGCCCCTAAGTAGTTCCTTTTATTGGCTTGCATTTAGAATCCGATAAGGCACTCCCAAAAACGGAACTACTTAGGGGCCTATGGCTAGTTTCGTTTTTTTCGGGTGGATGGGGGGGGGGGAAGATTACAGTAGAGTTTTCATAGGGAGTTCAAGGGAGTCTCATGTCTGAATGGTGCGTACGCGCCCCTAAGCACTTGGATCCTTGTTACCAAGGCCTGAAGCTCTGGGATGTTCTAGCATCAGGAACCTTTATAAGGTACCCTAAAACCCTAAACCTAAACCCTAAACCCTACACCAAAAAGGCCTTCAAAAACGAACAAAACCTAAACCCGAAGCCCTAGCCCTAAATCCCAAGCACTATATCCGAAACCCCAGCCCTGATCCCTAAGCCCTAAACCCTAAACCCCAAACCCTACATCCCAAATCCGTCCTAAAACCCATCGAACCCTAAACCCCAAACTCTAAACCCTGAGTCCAAGCAGCCTGCAGGTGCGGCCGGGATATGTGATGATGCGCTCAGGCACCTTGCGATAAAGAGTGGGAGGGGCAAAACTTTGAAAGGGGTTTCGGGGGTTTCGGGGGTTTAGGGCTTAAGGGCTTAGGGTTGAGCCCCTAATTAGGGGTTTCGGGCGTGTTGAGGATTTAGCTAGCTAGCTTTCTGGTGTCAGGGGCATCGGGGAAAGAGGATACCTCGAGACAGCTGTAGGGGAACTCTTGCACGTTTGGGTCATGTGCTTGGCGTCACGTACTTGTTCTAAATAGTACTTCTTCTAAATAGAACAGCTTGCAGAGTCGCAAACAGGCCTCCAGTTCATGATGCACAGAGCCACACATGAACGAGAGGTGTCCTTACCCCTGCGGCTAGCGGCTACTTTCCGGCACAAGCTGTCCCAGCATCGCCGGTGATGCCAGTTACCCCCGTTCAGGGTCCTGGGTGCCCAGGAAGCACTGCAGAACATAACAGTCGGGGGTTGTGGTAGCCTTTGCAAGCCATGGTTTAGGGTTCAGGGTGTAGGGTTTAGGGTGACATTCTGGTTGTACGTAGTGCATCAACTTTCTGAACGCATAACTACATCACACAATGTCGTTAGGTGCCTACTTGTACTGTGTTTTTTTAATACATGTACCTATATGAACAAGATAGCTCTGCCTGTATATGTGTGGGCCATAGTGACAAGTACATAATATGTGTATAACTGCACAACACCCAAACCCACGCTCACCTCTTCAGGAACCGACACGTGCATTGATCACTTTAGAAAGGTTGACATCTTTCGAGTGTCAAGCGTTGTCAGGCCTTTGGGCTATGGCGTTCTTGAGGATTTGGGCGTCATGTTTTTTTGTGGTTTCGGCAGCTCCCAGAAGGGAAGTGGCTTATGTTCATGCTTGCAAGAGCACTGAGGGTTTCGGGACACATACATATACATGCATGCATAGCATGCATACGTGCATACATCTGTACAATCCCCCGTGCATGCATACAGACATACAGTCTTACCAGCAGGCAAGCATCCAGACGAAACATACACGTGCACACACACACACAGATGCACAGACATACAAACACAGGCAGTTGAGCAGTTACATCTATTTGCATATATACATGCATGCATATGTACATGCATACATACGGTGCATGCATGCATCTGCCCAAAGATCTACATGCACGCATCTTCACCGACAGTCACTTTCCCTAGAGCCTGAAGCAATGGCACTCGCCAAAACCCAGCCCGCAAGCCCTGAACCTCGAGCTCTTAACGGCTTCGCTTTTGGGCGGCACCGGCGTCACGGGGCTTAGAGCAGAGCCCGAAAAGTTGGAAGGTACAAACAGGCTGTTTTCTGCTGGCTTTTGATCGTATTCTTCTCTGAGGGTGACTGAACTTTGGGCTCATGGCATTCTGATTTTCTTGCGCCTGTCGTTGGCTCTGGGCTGCCACGACTTTGGCACAGGGATTGATCCACAAGCGAACAGAAACAAAACCACACTAGCAACCTTCTATGGTAAAAAGAGCCCAGACAAATCTCATGCAGCACATGTTTAAGACATCCTAAGCACTACACCTTGAACC